AAGCAAGGTCCGGTAAATCTACTAGGAAAGAGATATATCCCAACAAATGGCAACTTTTTATACCAAACCCACCATTAGAAGTCTGTTTAGAAAAATGCTTAATTGAAGACTTAACTATGCAAAAAGGCTGCCTTAACTACTTAGCATAAGAAATCATACCACATATTCCGAACTCCCGGGAACAGAGTAGACAATTCGGTTTTAGATTTGAAAGTTTCGAAATCCCAACAAATATAATTTAAGATAGGCCTAGCTAGCCCATAAAGCCACATCTGCCTCATAGCCCCCTGGCACATTTGGCCCCGTAACAGAATGATAACGTGTCACCAAAATGCGCAAGACCCGATTTAGTATCCCGTTAGACATTCTGATGTGACCTGGACAAGGTCAAAACTGCAGTCAACCTGTGATAGGAAGACCTTTGGGAGGCGAGGTTGAGCAATTCAATACATTGTGGGACAGCCGCAGCAATGTGCGGGAATTTAACTACCACTCTCAATGATATAAGATTGTCAAATGCTTGTAAAAGCATTTTTACTGAATTCCCACATTATGTCCTGAGGTCTATGACTTTAGGGTCTGTTTGATCTAGGTTTCGAGCAAGAATATGGTTTTAGAATCACACGTGAGATTTTTAAGGAAGATGGGATAATAAGGCCAAGTGGAAAATCCTAGCAGATAGATCAGATGAGCTTGCCGAAGCACTTAGGACTGGAATAAAATAATTTCGAAGGATAAGGGCTTGAACGCAATAAGATTATAGTAAAATTAGTATTTAATCTTGTTCGCTTGTTTGTTTTAGCTTTAAAGATAACTGAACAATTCATCCATGCAATTAGCTTGAACGCAAGTATAGAAAACCCCAAAAGCGTATGCATACATTAAGCATATACATATATATATATATATATATATACATATATACATATATACTAATGCATTGGGAGATACAAATTCATTTTCGCATATCGAGAGGCGGAGCCAATGCTTCTGTGCATGTGCTATTGATCAAGTAACCTAGATGTAGATTAGAGATAAAAGCAAAAGGAACAAAAGAGACAATGATATGAATGAAAGAGAAAGAGTCAGAAATAATGGCGCACCAAAGCAGTGGAACGTAGCAGCGGAAAGAAAATAGGAGTGAAGAGGTAGTTTATGGTGTAGGGGCTAAGCCAAATAACGCCAAAAGAGTAACTGATGTTGAATCTATTACTTATGGCAATCACCCTAGTAACCGTATCACCAAATCACTTTATCAGTTGTATTTGAGAACTGGGCACAATAAAAGTGAACAATAAAGATCGGAATCGAATCAGTAAATGAACAAAATAGCTGTCCACCAAAACGCATAAGAGCAACCTGCAATATACAAGAATGGCAAGCAATAAGGTGTGAATAAAAAGAATAAGCATATGCAAAATTCGTCTGGAGTGAGGACTGGAAGATAAAACATTTTGGTGTCGTTGCTTGAAAGTGGAAAAACATGATAGCCTCCTGGGTGGGAAGAACAATACAAAGGATGAAAGTACTAGGGATGTCAATGAGAGGTAAGGGTTTGTACATTAGATCCATCCAAGAAAGAGAAAACGTACTGGGTATGAATGTCGCTAGACCCACTGATTGATTGAAATAGATACTTAGCATGTACAGAACCAACGAAAAGGGCAGCAGGGTTCAATCACATCTAGCCCTCCGTTAGATGATAAGCAGTGACCGTGATGAAGAAGGCTGGCAGAGGTAATCAGTTAAGCTAGTCGCAAGAAACCCTACAGTCCGGAATATAACACGAAAAATGAAAAAAAGCAAGAAGTGTATGACAATAGATTATGCAGTTGGTTTAATGTAACAACGATGCATTAGACGGTTTGGGTTTCTGCTCGGCAAATACACTACCCACCAGGCTTCCGGCCAAACGTTAAGTTGTGATAAAAAAGCAAATTGGGATAGGAAAAAAAAGTAAATGAAAGATGAGAAAGTCCTGGTGAATAGCCGAATATGTACAAGCGGATGTGATGGCCAGTGAACTATGTGTAAATGCTCTCCACCAAATGTTCACCTAATTGAAAGTAGTCAATCATTAGGTGAGTATGAATCGTAGAGATGAGAAGTCTGGATGGAGAAAATCAAAGCTCGAAAGAAGAAGTAGCCTCCGAAAGGCACCCATTAATTCAGCGATACAATGTAAGGAGCAGATGATGCGAACAACCATCTAGAGTATACATAAAAAAGTTGTATAAAAATATATTCCCAATTAGAGCATAATGCAGAAATGAGCATGTAAGCAGCCAGAAAGTAGGATATTACGAAAGAGAAATGAATGGAGTTATGATTCACTTGAATCATGTAGATGCGAAGTCCTAATGATGGGAGAAGAGGAATTGGGAAAAAATTAATCAAATACATGCCAGGCCGAATGAATAAAAATCATTCAGCAAAGATAGAAATGGAGAAAATGAGAATTAAACAGGACCGGATGAATGTGTAAGGGTGGAAGAAACAATTAGATCAAAAGATGTTGTAAGACGAGAGTTAAAAACTGGAAAATAAGTCTTGCCAAACAGATGGGATAAAGGATGGGTTAAAATAGGAAACTATACACTGGCTTTGGATTAGATAATTTCATGGAGAGTAAAAGATAAAACAAAATAGATGAAGAAGTAGAGTAATAAACATTGTTTAAAGAATATTAGAAAATAAGAGACTAAGGGAGCAGCAAATGTCATTAGAAAGAGAAGGGTCTAATAAGATAAAGCGAAAAAATCACTTAAACTATAAGAAAAATGAGTATTCCTGTAGCGAGGTTTAAGATAAAGAAAAAAGGGAGTATAGATATTAGTGCACATCGCATCCTCTCTATGAGCAAACAGGGAGGAGGAGGGAGACAGAGGAGTTGAGTCTGCGAATGCGCGAAATAAATGTATATATAACGATTCAAATTGAGAAAAATAGGAATGAGCTGGAATTGTCAGTGTAAGGATATGTTGTGAGATGAACAAAGGCCAGTAAAAGACTGCACAGAAAGAAGGAAGAGGGTATCACTTGGTCAGCGCTGAGGGATTGTCGTGCAGCAAAGGCAGCACCCGCGTGAGCCGATAGGTTAGCCACAGACCCTGAACTCCTTGAAAAAGCAAATGGCATTTCCAGTCGGAGGTGAGATGTGAAGTGAATGGCAAAGGCAAACTTTTTAACATCTGTGTAGTCTATGTGGCAAGTGAAGCCGATCACAAAAATTAAACGGGAGATCAGTGCAACTAAAGTTTCGGGTCAAAGGGCTGAAAGAAGGGAGACATTTGTGCAAAAAATTCAGTCAGCCGCCAGCAAAAGAGGAAGAGAGAGGATAGAAAAAAATAAAGGCAAATTTCAACATGTGGACAGTTAAATGGCAGAACACAATGTAAGATGGTGGTATGGAAAAAGCCAGAAATTTGTGGAGATCCGATCTCCCGAAATCACTTCTTGAAAATCTATGGCCTATTAGTGCAAGAAATATTATCATAGTTCGATCTCCGTCTGAATTTGAGAGTTTCGGGCACGACTGTTCTGGTTTCTAGGAGCAATGGTATGGCTTCAAATGGGTCCACTGCTCGCTGTCAGTCCGATCCTCTCATCATCATCATCATCCTCTTCATCATCGGCGTCACTACTCCTCTCTGTGGAGACCTTAAACTGGCCTCTTGCACAATGCGGCTGCCAGCAAAATCCACTGTCACCACTCCCGGCGTTGTATTGGTCCAGTAAGACGCCATTGGCCATACCAGCCATGGCAACTCCAGGTCCTTCGGTGCCGATTCCCCCCGGCCGAAGGACACCTTCATTGAATACACCGGCATTAGCGGCCGCGACAGCGGCAGCCGCCGCCATGGTACCACGTAAAGGCAGCCAGTATTCGCCTGACTGAGAATGGAGCGGCATCGTGAGTCCAACGCCAGGCTCAGTGCAGGGTGTCGAAAAGTCCGTCTTCGGCTGCACTCGGGACAGCAGTTGCTGGTGCAAAAGAGGCAGGAGGACATTGGTCGTCGATGTTGTCTGGGATTGGTGTGGCTGATGTTGTTGTAGATTGTGATGCTGCGAAGGATGCCTCTGCTGTGAGTGTAAGAGCTGAGTCTGAGGGGACAGTTGGAGCTGCCCGGCCTGCGAAGCGAGGAGGGACTCCAGTTGCTCGGCGTACCCGATGGAGGATACTGAGGAGACACAGGGACCCGGTTGCCCGGAGCCCGGTCCGGAGAGGGTGGGATTTGAGCCCACAAGCATGGAGTCCGTGGGGCCGAGGAGACAAGCGGCGAGCTGGTCGACGGCGGCCGCCGTGGCTACGGCCGGAGAGGTGGACCCAAGTGCTGAACTGGGCAGAAAAAGACCGGTTCCCATGGTGGAACCGGCCGTGTAGAAGGGCTGGCCGGCTGCAGTGACAGCGATGGGAAGCCCAATGAGCGGAAAAAGTGAGCCAGGCTGTGTCAGTTGCTGCTGATGCTGAGGCTGTGTCAGTTGCTGCTGATGCTGAGGCTGTGTCAGTGACTGGAAGAGAGAAGCTGAATTGGGCGCGGCCAGCAGGCCAAAAAGGCTAGTGGGCCCAGCCGAAGCTGAGGTGATTGGAGTGGGTGGGAAGAAGTTGCCCGTGTGGCTACCGTTAAAGATGGATGCACTGGCGTATTCACGAAAAGATCCATCTGTAGGGTAGCAAAAACAAAGAAAGAGTATGGAACAGGACATGTTAGTAGTCATAAGTAAATGCAAAAACAAGCCAGTCAGACCAGCAGTATGACAAGATCTGTACGAGTGTGGTTTTGCAGAAGCCTAGAAAGAGCCTGACAGACGTGGCTATACGGAG